AAGGATCAGAGACAGCTACATTTTCTACTTCAAGATTGCTCATCTCCACTGACCCACATGAATCAGTAATCAATTTCGTCAGATCGGCATAGACCTTCTGCATTGAAGAAGCTGCAAATTCATTCTTCTCAAACAGAGTATTGAAACTCTGCTTCAATTCCTCATATTGATTTGACGTGGACTCATGCTTCACATAAGCAGCTTCAAGTTTTTCCTCCAGGTCGTCAATCACCTTTACAGCCACATCAACAGAACCAGATATGCGCTTGGTCATATCTAAGCCAGCATTAGCTCCAGAAGTGCCAGATCTGAGTAAACAATCATCAAGCCTTACAACTGCTTCACCAAATTCAGACATCAATGATGTCAGTTCATGTTCTAGCATCATTGCCCTCTCAGATTCATCCTGCAAGGCCACTAACTGTTCTTCCATTGAGGACAAAAAGCTACTTAAATTCTGCTGTAAGTTTTCCAGCTGAATTTCAAGCTCATTAATTCTCAATAAGCAAGAATTCAGCTTCTTCTTGAGCTCCGTGTTTTCTACACCGACATTATCATTTCTTAGCTTTAATGAATCACAGAGAAGTTCAAGTTCATTGTTTTTATGTTGCAACTCATACGAATAATGCTTCAGAGCTTCAAATGAAATCTTACTCTCAATAGTATCTGCCTCCAGAACATTAATGTGATCCTGATGAGATGCAAACTCGACATTTAACTCCTCGAGTCTTTGATTTGTTGATGTCCTGTCATCATTTAACTGCTTGAATTGTATACCAGCCTTCCTACCATTCAACAGTAACTGATGAAGCAAGCCTCTCAAATTTCTAATCTGCACATTCACAGAAACAAATTGATCTGCTTCTGATGGATCATCAGTTAACTGTGCGTTCTCAGATTCATGTTCTTCTGGTTTCCGTTTTGACTCAAAAGCTTGAATCAATTTTGATACTGCTGGTGTGGCACCTTTATCGCTAGATTTACTCACTCGCAGAATCGGTCAGGATCTGCTTAATTGCCTCTTCAAGGTTTTGAACCATTTTCTCCCCCTTCTCCAGATTCTTCTTCAAAGCAGAAACTCAGAAGTATCTTCCATTACCTCTTCCGAATTTGTATATTGTGTATTTTCAAGAAGAGATGCACCCTGTTTACTAACCACGACTTCTGAACTTCCACTAAGTTTCTCAGAAATTTCCTGATTGATCAAACCTGAAGCATCCTCGCTACCAATGTCTACCATTCTAGCTTTTTCTACCATGATGCTGCTAGTTAAAGATGTATTTTCTTCAGTCAATTTATCAAGGCGCGCTATTGCTTCTCTTAACTCAACTTCTAGATGAGTCCGCTCTTCATCTACAATTGACGTACGCTCTTGAAGAGTAAGAAGTTCATGTGTAAGTTTATCATTTTCCTCAATCAAATGTTCCTTTTCCCCTTGAAACTTCAAGAGCTTATTATTCAACAAAGAATATCCTTCCTTTAGATTGGAATACTCAGACAATAAATAAGTCTCCGAGATCAGATGTGCACTAAGTTCTAGATGTGCTTTCTCATTTTCTTCTCTGAGATGTAGGTTGTTCTCTTCAAACTTAGTCTGTTGGCCTGTCAGTAAAGAAAGCGTCTCCCTTATGTTTGAATTTTCCACCTCTTGCAGGGTGACCAACGTCTTACAATTTGCCAATTCTTCCTGTAACTTCTCTGCCTCACCCAATAAACTATATCTTTCCTCCACAAGATGTATCTTCTCATCTGTTAATGGACCAATAGTGTTTTCCAATTGCTCAACTTCTGCCTTTAGTATAGCCGCCAGGTTCTTGCAATTCAATAACTCAGATGAAAGATGCTTAATCTCATAGTTCTTGGATTCTTTTTCTTCAAGAAGTTCTTTTTTCTCATCATTCACGGAAGAAATAATTGCAACCAACGTATCATTCTCCACCTGAAGATTAATGCACTTTTCTTTCGCCTCAGATAGATCCAACAGGGACTTTTCTAGGCTAAGCTGCAAGTCATTCATCTTAGCAGTGAAATCCTCCACTTGAGCTTCTGTAGCAAGAAGCTGATTTTCAAGGTTCTCAGTAGAGCTAGTAGCAGCATAGAGTTTAGACTGCCACTCTAGTAGTTCCTCCGCAAGAGAATCATTTCTCTCTATCACTGCATTATATGATGCACGAAGCTGTGATATTTCAGCTACCAATTCGTTATGTTGATGATCAAACTCCTTTTGCAGATGAGACTGTTCTGTGAGTTGCACGTGGAGTAAATCTTCCATGGTACTCGAAACAAACAGTTCTTCTCTTACTCGCTCCAACGAACTTGTTCCTGGCTCAGTACTGGAAGCAGCCTCTCTTGCGTTGCACAAAATTTGATATTCGTCTTGGCCAAGTCCTTTAACAATATCAATAAGCTGTAAGAAGCTGAATGAGCGGCCTTCATGAACATGAGCAACGGAAACTTCTCCAGATAAATTCAATGTGTCGATTTTTTGAGGTTCCTCATGGCTCACTAATCCAGATATACTGATGCTCTCAGGCAATTGCAGCTGACTAGCCATATCTGCAACAGAGCTTTCCTCAGGTTCAGCTGAAAGCACGTGATCTCTATCATTAGGAAAATCAATAGATGTTTCTGGTTTCTCTTCATTAAGCTCTGCAGCTTCCCTCATCTGTTGGCTTCTAATATTACCATTTTGTCCTTCTAGTTCAACTGAATCTAATGCAACTGAGGATCCCTCTGAAAAATGTGAAGGAGAAGCAGATAAATCCACAACAGCTGGATAGCTTGTTTGCCTTTCTTCAGTTGCAATCTTATCCACACCTGCCTTTGCAGATGATTCAGAAAACTGCTCCATGCGTGAACCACCTTCTTCCTGCATTTCCCCTACCCAGAAACAAATGAGAATTGAATTATACATCAAAAGGTCGCATGCAATAGACATAACCTCTTTATCCTTATCAAAGAAAAAGTAATAAGAAAAATGATTGAAGAGAGAAGCATGAAGAGAAGGAGAGAACAACCTACATCAGTTACCTGATCTCCCCTTGCACGAATCAAGGAAACATCAGGAATGCCTTCATGGAGAGAGGATGGCTGATGCGGCTTTTCCACATTTCCAGACCCACCTTCAACTTCAACTCCTTCCCCCTCCGCTATGTTTCCAGAAGACGTAAAGATTCCGTCAACATTAATAGATGCATCGTCATGAGTAACTCCCTTCTCAGAATCTGCAGGGTCAGATGTCAAAGAACCTACTGTGCCAGCAACTCCACCGTTGATAGACTTCATATTCTCTTCTTCAGTGGATAAAGATATACTGATATCGTTTTCAGAATTAACTACTTCTTTTCTCACTTCAGATACATCATCAGAAGTGGTGTTTCCTGGCTGAGGCATATCAGGTTCTGATGATGAACCATGGACTGAAACATATTCGTGAGCTTTTGTATGTGAAGAAGTTTGTGGAGAATCGACAACCTCCTCAGCAACATTGACATGGGATGGAGCTTGTGCCTCGTCACTGACAGCACTAGTGTCAGGTTTACGCTCATGCTTCTCAGATTTATTAGATTTTTTGGAGGATTTGCCTTGGCTTGTACTGCCTTTGGAGTCCTTTTTCTGATCAGTGCCTTTGTCAGCCTTCTTTTGACGAAATTGTTGAAGCTGAAATGAGGTTAAGAAACTAAGCGATTAAAACATGTTTATCTATCTATATAAATCAAGGCAGGACAAGTAAACAAGTATAGACTGTGGAGACAAGTTGGGTAAAGTTATGCGTGAAAAATAGCACAATATTTTCCAAATTCTTTTTTTACTAGAAGAAAGAGTACATTATCAAGAAAGCAGGCTATCAACTGTTCCTCCTAAACTATGAACTTAAGAAAATGAGCAGAATAGAAACCGTTACTGTTTGACGGATGGTTTTCATTGAAGAAGGATATGAAACAGTAAAACTCTCTCTCTCTCTCTCTTCTCACTGACATTTGTGATAACTAAGCAAATTCACCCAAATTCCAAAGAGGTAGGTTTAAGGACAACGAAGCTAACCTTGTGGCGCCCAGCAGCAAGTGGATCAGCACGGTTCTTTTTCTTGTCCATTTGATTTACTCTGTTCTTGTTCCCACAATGACTCTTCGTGGATCACCACCAAGCTTAGATAACCATGGTTCGTGCCTCCTGATTGACGCAGAATCCAACAACAAAAAAACTGAGCTAATTTCACAAAACTTATATGATATCAGAGAGCACCGACACAAAAAACACAGACCCAAATGCCAAATTGAGCAGCAACTAAACGGAAATCAATATCCAGATTCAATAGAAAAACAAACTCGTATTAACAAACAGCAATTACAGATCATCGAATTTCACACAAAAAAATCGATTAATACGGTAGAAATCACGAAACTGAGCTAAAAAATACCCTCGATCCGATTAAGAGAAAACTCCAAGGGAGACTGAAATCGACTTTGCTTCCCGTAGAGAATTTGCTTGAAAACACCTATCCGTATACGTCGCTCTCTCCTTAGATCTAACGGAAATGGCCTTTAGCTGGTGTGTCTCGTTCCTTCGAAAATTGGTAAGAAACAAAAAGAAAAAAACTGCTAGAAACGCGACGCGATTCAACCTCACACAGACGTCGATTTGAAGCGAAGAGAAAAATTCCTTAAACACACTATTACTTCAAAAGTAAAGGAGACAACTCATACTGGGCCTTATAAGCCCAATTTAAAACGGTACCCAAAACGGTACTACTTGGTCAACTGAAGATAAATGTAACGAGGTTTTTGATTCATCATCCGTTTTTTCTTTACAAAATGATCAAACGGTAATGTAATATGACCAGTAACTACAACTGTAAACGGGACTAGGAAGGCTTCAAGCTTACATTTTCTTATACAAAACACAACATGTATTGTTACACAGTCATTGCATCATAGAAGAATCTGTGTGCGCGTTTCTAAACTTCACGTTTAGGCCGATTACGAGTTCGTTGAAGCACAGGTTCTTGAATCACATCATCCAGTGAGATTTCCCCTTCACCATTCTCTCCCTTTTCTGCTGCTTTTATCGCTTGGTTCAACGCAATCTGCAGCAGAAGAAATGACAGCAATAGTACAAAGCTATTAGTTTTACAGATCATATATGGATGATAAATGATTATCAGACAAGATACAAGAACCTTGTTTCAAACTCAAGGACACAAGATTTATACAGGGATCAGAATAAGTTCCTTACTTTACCATGTGTTAGAGACTCTGCTCAGCAACACTTACGGTGGAAAATTGTATGTGATTCATCAGAGAGATTCAATTCTATTAGAATGCAAAATGGACTCTAAGAGGATGTGATTATCTCTTGCTTTCTAAGGATGCCTTAAATTCAACAACTTGAACCAAATCAACCCAAATTCAAAAGATAATTCCTTTGCTTAATGTTTCCCCCAAATAAATTTACTTTCTCTGCCTTCTTAACCACGATTACCTCAAATCCTATAAACTAACACTGAGACAAACTAGACCTAAGGCAAGGTAAAACACTAAACAGCTAGACGAAAATTGAATCTGAATTAGATATGACAAAGATTGAATGAACTTGTTTTTGAAAACGGTGATCTTACATCCTCAAGGAAATCTTCGTCGAGTTTATCAGCGATTTTGATTGAAGTGAAGACAGTGGCGGCGATAAGAGTAGCAGGAATGGCGAACGCGAGCAAGTAGCTGCTCGTACTAGGCCCTGCTCGCGTCACCACGGAACAGTCTCTGATTCTCCGTGTAAGACATAATCCTCCGGCTACACCATCGGGAAAATTGTTCGCCGGCGGCGAGAATAGTGGCTGAGAAGAAGACGCAGAGAAGCTTATCTGTGTGGGTTGCATAGGGATAGGGAAGAAAAGTCTCGCCATTATTTTTCTTGTTGATTTTCGAAACAAGCGATTGGCAGCAATGCAAGCAACAGAGATAATCAATTTTGGGTCGGTTAAGTCGACCCGACTCGACCCGAATAATCTGAAATTTAGCCAATGGACTGACTTGTGTACCAGACCCATTACAACTATAACCAAATTACTCAATATTTTTGGTCCAAAACTTTTTGAGAGATTCTTTGGATAAAAACTTCCATCCTAGTTTTAGGTATCATCAAAATATAGGAAGTAGGAACCAGTTCAAATTGCGTGGGCTGCTGAGTGATAAGATTATACCATGGCATGTCTAAGATTTAACTCATGAATATGTGTAATCCTCTCTATTCAGAGGAGGAAACAAGAGAATGTTATATAAGCAAGCAAAACTGTAATCATGTCATAGAGTGCAATTATTTCGTCTGTGTTGAACCTGCCGTGATAGCGATATATTCGTCTTCGTTTATTATATTGGAGATATGATAGCATATGGAGCATGTTTCATTTATTTATTGACCAGAATCAAATCTTAATCTTAATCAAGTTGTCTAATTGATACGATTATTGATTCTGATATTTATTTAACAAGTTTTCCTTAATATGATCCCATATTTAACACGAAGTCAAGCAATATATAAACTTTTAATATTCTCTTTCGTGGGCTAATGGTTTATTCGGATATTAAAATTTACCAATAGTTGAATGACTTATCTTGATGTTGAGAATAAGACTTTTGACTTTTGAGTAATTAATTGATCCACTACAAGTTTTATCATTATTGTTTCTAGATACGTTAAATGGTAAAGATACTATATATGCGTTCCACAAACTCTAGAGAGTATAGTGCTTCGGATTAGATGATTAGATCACCCCTCCCTTAGAGTATATAATTTTTCTTTGTATGGTTCATCTTCCAAGACCACCATGTGCTGGTTCTTTGTTCAGATGTTAAAGTGAAGAATATAAACCAAAATAATTCGACACCCAACGTTACATCCAAATATACGTTTAACATTGATAATATAACATCTAGTTGCAGTCCACATTGGATTCCACTCTCATCTTACTTTTTTGTCTTTTACACATATTCTTCCTTACGGCTTTAGTAGACAAGATAGTGCATGTATTAAACTATTAACTGAATTAAACTGAGATTAAGACTTATGAAACAAAACTAATATTATATATATATATATATATATATATATATATTAGTTTTGTGTTAATTTTTGTTTTCATTTTATATTCTCTCTTCATGTGATTAACCTCTTTAGTTATTTATAATCATAAGATTTGTTGTTTAAGAAACTTGTTTGAGTTGTAAGAGATGAAATTCTCATATACAGTTTTTCTCACTCGGTGAATAATGAAAAATCATACATAACTGTCAATATAAATAGTAGTTAAAGATTGACAGTAAACTTAATCAGCATAAACAGAATATGAGAATACTTTTAGTCAAAACGTAAAGATTAAGATAAGAGCCATGTATTTCTCAAATGCGTGTTAAATTCGTGTGTTTATAAAATAAATTTATGTCTATTAAGTATTAATCTACGATCTTTATGTTGACTTCTTCACAAAGTTAAAGCATTCGGCACAACAATGGGTTTTCATAAGTCGGGTTCCATTCGAATAAATAATGATGATCGAAGTTAAATCCTTTTTTTCTGTTCCTGTTTTTTTTTTTTATGTTCCACTAACTTCAGTTATGAATAAAATAATGTTAACATGTACTAGACAATTAGCAAGAGTTATTTAAAAATGTGACAATATTTGAGAAATAAGTTAGAAAAATGGTTATCAGGCCAAAAAATTTATATGTTCGTCTACTTAAATATGATAAATATTTATCACATGAAGTCTTAACAAAATTATATTTAACAATTAAATATATAAATCAAATATTATATTACGGAACTAATTATTTGTTTGTAACAGTTAACTAAACATTAAGATCATTTTCATCAAAAATAAATAATAAAATGACTTAAACTCGTCTAAAAATGTAAATAACATCCAGACAATCATATTTATTTGCATTATTATTTTTATCTGTTATTGTTATGTTACTTTTTGTCATGAAGTACAAATACTCAATTATTAATACGACAAAGTAATAGTATGTAACGTTGTAGAGACTAGAGAATACAGATACAAACATGCAATTTAACGAACACGTTTCTTTCACCTGCTCGAGAGAAAATTTTAATTTAAATTATTGAAAAGAAAAATACAACAACAAAAAAACGAGCATAATTTTATTATTATTATCTTATTAGAAAATCCACTTGTTTTATTTTTCATTGTAGTTTAATACGCACCAACGATTTTTTCGGCATATAAAGAACCAAAATAAGTTTACATAAAAAAAAAATAGTGAAAAACTAGTTACATAACCGCATTTACATGTTGATTTTTTTTCCTTACAAATATATCTATTTTAATTTAACTAAACGAATAATGATCCGGACGAAAAAGAGATGATCAACAATATCATAACACATTGAGAATTTGAGACACAAAAAAAAGGATGATCATTGAGATTTTGTAACTATGATAATATAGACGTGCACGACAATAATAATACAACTCGGTCGGGTCAACTACCCCCATGTTATAATTTAATCGTTGACATAAGAAACTGTTTTAAATAACAATCCATTGTTTCTTCTCCACCCATATATATATATATATATATATATATATAGCCATAAACACGTTACATGAACGCACAACACGTTCTATTTTTTTCTTTAAAAAAAATAATTTTAAGAATTTGAAGCTAATGTCCAGACTCCAGAGACAATATATTTTGGCAGCTAAGATAATTACAATAACCAAATATGATTCAATTTTTTTTTTTTTGATTTTTTGTAACCAATAGACTAAAAATCCAAGATAATATATATTGATACATACAGTTTATGTTTAGGTTTCAGTTTCACTATATACAAATTCTGATTTTTTATTTATTCGTTAATAAGAATTTTCCACAACACATAAATAATTGAGAAATTGTTAAAAATGCCCCTTTTTCAATACCCCTTTTCAAAAATGCCCCCTTTGAGAGTCCATTTTTAAGTTTGCCATCTTTTAATTTTTAATGACTATTTTACCCTTATTTGAAACAAAATTAGGTGCACAAAATACAAAATATTTTTTGGCGGGAAAAGTGATCCCGCAATTTTCCCGCCAAAACACTTGTAAAAACCTTTAAAAAACCTTGTAAAATTTTCCCGTAAAAATTTTTCCCGCCAAAAAATTTTCCCGCCACAAAAATTTTTTTTGCGGGAAAAGTGGAATCCGCAATATTTTTTGCGAAATTTTTTTGGCGGGAAAATCTTTGGCGGGAAAAATTTACAAGGTATTTTAAAGGTTTTTTACAAGGTATTTACA